TTCTCTTCTCTTCTCTTCTCTCTCTCTCTATCTCCATAGAGAGAGAGTCTCCTGTCGTCATGTCTCTCTTCTCCCTAATCTTAATCTCTCTTTCTCTCTCTCTCTCTCTCTTTCTCTCTCTCTCTCTCTCATTTTCTCTCTCTCTCTTGTGTCTCTCTTCTCCCTAATTTTAATCTCTCTCGTCTCTCTCTCTATCTCTCTCTATCTCTCTCTCTCTCTCCTGTGTCTCTTTTCTCCCTAATTTTACTCTCTCTCTCTCTCTCCCTCTCTCTCTCTCTCTCTCTCTCTCTCTCTCTCTCTCTCTCTCTCTCTCTCTCTCTCTCATTCTCCCTCGCTTTTTCTTCAGTCTCACCTTCAGAAATGCACGTACATGCACCAGAAAAAGCAACAGTCGTGATGACGTCCGACGAACACGCTGGAAGAAACAACATAATATAATTATTATTTGTCGTTTTATGAGGATATATTTTTTTTTAACAAGCGTGAGGGAGCTCTGAAAAGTTCAACATAACAAGCATGTGCCATTAGCGGGCCGCTGACAGTTATACTACTATAGTCTTTATCTAGTCCAAATTATGCACCAGCGAGTACTTCAACAATAATTCTATGTATGAGTCTAATAATAATAGATAGCATTTGTATAGCTCAAATCCACGCTCAACAGCAAGCTCTAGGCACTTCACAATCAATACTATTACCCCAGCAGACCTCTGAGCATTCTGAAACAACCTCAACTTCTTGGAAGCATGTACAGAGCAAGCAGCCAATTATAAACTATAGGCTCTAAAACACTAACCTACTGGCAAGATGGTTCGCTGTCTCTGATCGGGTACCCATTCCCACCTAGGTGAAGTGAGAAAAATTCGTGTAAAGGACATGCACCTTTCCCAAGGACACAACGTCGGGCCCGCGGCTCGAACCCCCGAACCCCCAACCTCACGATTACGAGTCCAGTGGCCTACCCACGAGGCCACTGACTGCGTTAGCTGACAAAACGTCTTTTTTTCTTTTCTTTTCATTATTTGCACCAGATTTTTAATTTGCTAAATCGAAAGCCTAATCAGTTACCCTATTTGTGTGTGTGTGGGGGGGGAGGGGAGAGGGGGATCAAAGTGAAACTGGGACTACATCTAGGGGTTGTTGTTTTTTTATAAATTAGAATTCAAATTTCGGAAGAACGCCTTTTATAAATGGTTATGCTGACAAAAAGCTTTTTTTTTTTTATCTCGAAAAATTAAAAGTGTTTATATAGTCAGCATAGGTTAAAAGGCAGAATACATGATGTATTAAATGTACCCGTATTCCTACAATAAATTGTCATAATGCAACAATCATTACCCACCGCTGTCCTGTTTCCGGGTTTCTGAGTTCAACTGGTGCTTTATTGCCACTAACGGTGAAGGTCGCAAGCTGCCCGAGTTTTTGTGGAATCGGGTTTCTGCGTTCTCAATTACATTGTAGGCCTTCTACTTTACTGTCTTCTGTTCCAAAGACGACCACGACTTCATGTTTACTTGGCGATAACAACCACCGAAATGTGACGAACGTTGCCCCGTGGTAGGCTTACGTTTTGGTTCACATGAAAAGTACAGTATCGTGTTCCAGCACTCTCTTATGCTGTAATAATAATATAATTAAATGTAGGGGGCGGGGGGGGGGGGTGAGAAGGTGGGGTGGGGCTCTCGTGATTTAGAGGTTCAGTGTTTGCCTCTCGTGCGAAACCCAATAGCGAAAGAAGATATTTTCTTCCAAAGTGTTCTCATTTCACTTCCTTCCCTGCTCTCTAACCATGTTCTGTCGTCTGCCTTCGTCTCCACGTTCTGCCCCCCCCCCCCCCCCTCCCACTCCCTCCCGTAAAACAGTTACCACAGCAAACAAGGAAAAAGTGTAATCTTTACTTACGTCAAAATTTGTAGATGTAAAACAGATACGTTTCGTTGTTTCGTTCTGAAAGATTCATCTGGGATCATTTGTGTTCCTGTGATCAAAACACACCCCTTCTTTTTTTTAATTTGGGGGGGGGGGGGGGGGGGGGGGGCAAAGATATGTAAAGGAAACTTTCAAATAGTAAATAAAACAAAATTATTATTTTTGCCACGCAGTCGTCTTCGGGAACAAGCGACCAAAAAACTTAAAGTTTTTAAGGGGCTTCTCTTCTCGCAGAAAACCAAGGACCTTACAGCAACCTTTCTGTATAATAACCTCCTCGCACTGCATAGACAGACAAAAGGCTTCTCGTAGGGCTCACTACCGTCGTTTGTCGTTATCTTTGGTGAAATGCATCGACATAGTTGTCTTCTTTGTTATTGTTTTTAATGTCAATTTTTCTTCTTCTGACTCTAGATCTACTTTCTCTATTCTAGGGATGTTTACTCAGGAAAGTAGGCTACGTGTGTAGGCCTTACTTTTCATTTAAGACGGTTTCATAATTCTCCTGCTGCGGCCCTTTGCAGCTACAATCGTCTCTTTGTTCTCTAGGCTCTCGTTTTTCCTCTGTCTCTTTCATTTTTGTTTTATATGATATAATCTCTCTCTTCCCCTCACTCTCTCTCTCCCTCTCTCTCTCTCTCTCTCAAAACCGGGTCTCGGCTGTCAACTCTGTCTCTCTCTCTCTCTCTGATCTCCCTCCCCCCTCCCCCCCCTCTCTCTCCCTCTCCCCCCTCCCCTCTCTCTCTCTCTCTCTCTCTCTTTCTCTCTCTCTCTCTCTCTCTCTCTCTGTGTTTGTCTCTGTCTCTGTCTCAGTCTTGGTCTGTCTGTCTGTCTGTCTGTCTGTCTGTCTGTCTGTCTGTCTGTCTGTCTGTC